TTAGAAGGAATTAAAATGTCCTACTCATATATTTGAAGTTGATCTAATATTTACGATTAGGTTTTTAAAAATTAATAGTTGCTACTTTTCATTATTTTTTATTTTGCAAGCGTAAGAGATGTTTGTAGTGTTCTATTTCAAGATTATTACCTTGGCTGAGAGATGGGGATTTTCTTCTCAAAATGTCATTGGTCTAAATGAAAGTACATGCAGTGAAATTGTGTATATATTTGCATCACACTCAGCCAACTGTGCTGGGTAGCAGGTGAATATGATAAAATATTTGAGCCCACATACCAAACCTAAAAATTTTATTTTTCCAAAATATGGTCAATGTAACAATAACAGCAATGTTAATAGAACGGAAAAGGTAAAACTTATACCATTCAGAATAAAAATATTGAACAAACTCCCTTGTGCCCCTTCTTCTCAGAGTTGAACCTCTTTATTGCTGTTGCATTTTTCTTGATTAATGGTGTTATACAAGCTCAAGTGATGCATTTTTGTACTTGTTAAGATGCTTCCAGTTGTAGGTATAGAAGCTCATCCCATAGTGTTGTGTAAATCGCAGAGACAATTACACAAACTAAGCGGATCCCAGATCCCTGCGCGTGCGATTTTGAGGAGTGTATTTTGGCCTTGGTTCCTTTCTGGTTCTTTCTTTGCTGCTGTTTCCACTGCCACGATCTTTGGCTTCACCACAGGTGAAAAATAATGGAGTCAGCAGACCAAAGAACTGAATCTCTAAAACCATAAGCTAAAATAAACCTTCTTACTTCCCAGTGAGGGAAGCTGACTTAAATATCTTTATTGTTTTCTTAAACTGACTTTAAATCAGGAGTCAACATAGGCAGACTGAAGTTATTATTATTTTTTTTTTTGTCCATCGAAAAGTTTACAAGATTTTCAGCTGGCAGTGGTTTTAAGTGGGCTTGTGTTCCCTAGGGGCGCTCTCTAACGGGCTGGGCGGTGCTCCTGAATCTGAATCCTCAAGGCGTTTCGTTTATCATCCAGCGACCTGAGGAGAGGAAACAGGGTCGCCAGGGAGAAGGGCGGGCTGCTCGGAGAGCCTTAGTGTTTGTCAATGGAGTCTCTGATGTGGAGACTTAACCTTAGGAGAAATGTTAAATTTCTGGATAATCCTTTCCCATTGGCCAGCCATATCTGTATATTACTCATGGATTCCAAGTTACTCAGTGAAGCAGCCGATAAATTATTTTTACTTTCAACTTCAACAGTCTTTGTTTTAGAAACAATTTTTGGTGAGGCACTTCCCAGTCTGAGCCCCTGCCCCGGGGAGGGTTGGAACGCAGACTTGTGGACCTACATACTTCATTTTTATCTTCAATTTTAACACCCGCTTCCTCTTTATCAAAAATTCCTTGTAATTCTGAAGGCAGTTCCTCCTTCTGGATGGAGTTCAGAAGCTGCTGACTTGCACCATCAGAATAACTTCTAAATCCATCGTTGACTGTGAATCCATTTCTCCATAATTTTATACTTACACCTACCTGTTTCTTCTGTTCAGTGGAGGATGACCATTTGGCTCCGGTCTTCTGAGCTTCCTCAAAAAGGCTGTCAACAAAATATTCACAGTCCTCTTGTGGATTAGCATTAAGCGGGTAATTGTCAGGTCCTGTTTCACAGGCTCAGTCTTCTTTTATATTTCCAAGATTATCGTATTCTTTCATTCTCTTTGTGTTAATTTTGCCTGTTTGCTAGGTGTAGTTCCTCATATCCGAGCTCTAAGATGGCGAACCTTTTAGAGCTTTCGATGATACAAACAGCCCGCTGTGACACCCCTGCCACAGATGCGCCACCACGGTCCTTATCAAGTATTATCCCACTTACTCCCAACAACTGCGGTGATAAAAACCGGGCAGAGGATGGAACAGACTGAGCTTTAGGCTGGGCGTGGTGGCGCACACTTGAAATCCCAGGACTCGGGAGGCTGAGGCAGGAGGAAGGAGGATTATAGCCAGTTGGAGGTCAGCCTAGAGGCCAGTCTGAACTACATAGTGCGACCCTGTCCCTGGGCGCGGCCTTGCAGCCTGGCCCTCCAGCTCTCAGGGCCCGCGGGCACCATCGCCATGCCTCCTCGGGAGTCGCTCCCACATTGGATAATTTTGCAGTTATCAAATTGTACATTTTTTATACTTGTCAATTGTTTAATTTGAAATGTATTTGTAAAGATATAAATACTTCATTGATAAATCATATATATGAATATACATGTATGTTATATTCATACTTGCTTTTTTAAAATATCAGCACAGTTAATAGTTCATAAATATTTTATAAAATATTGTAGTGTGCGTATGTGCGTGTGTGTGTGTGTGTGTGTGTGTGTTCCAGACAGTCTCACACAATGACAGTGAGAAACCAATACTCCTAATCTAGAGTATTAAATCTCTAAGACCACATTCTTTTCTTAACAAAACTGACCTCTCCATTACTGTTAAAAACTTTCTACTTACTACTTTAGGAACCGGTTGTATAATACTTTAAATGAATGAAAGAATTTGGGAAGTTGGAAAGAAATGTTAAGTAGTTATTATTTCTCCCATCTTTTTTTCATGTGAACACTGCCTCATAGATCATTTTATGCCACCATGTTTACCAACTGCGTGGATTAGAGGTTACATCAGCTAAAATAACAGTGAGCTATCCTGTCAGCCACTCATAGTTTGCCATTATGGTGCTATGATTATATTTCCCCTCTACTGTCTCTCTCCTTTACTCCCAGATCCAATTTAGTCTGCATGTATTTTCTCTCTTTATTTTCTTAAAAAGATAAGCAGAAATTAACTTGTAAGGAGAGCATAGGGAGCCATGAATACAAGATGATCTATCTCTTAAGGATTTGTCCAACTCCAACATTCCCTCAACAGGCCTTAAAATCCTTAGTGTCACACCAATTATTGTTTATTCTCATATGTGTCCTTGAAAGTAAAATGATAGATCTAGATGAAACGGTAAATATCTAAAATTGTTTTTTTTTTTTTTTTTTTTTTTTTGGCCAGGGGTTTTAGCTCAGTGGGTCCACCGCCTGCCTCACAAGAACGAGGTCCTGAGTTTGATCCCCAGTACCCCTCCCCCAAGAAATATATAAATAAATAAAAGGTTTTTCATTTATAAGGGAAGAGGTAATAAATAGCATAGCAAGACCCACTGAGTACGTTGTTTACAACCCTGACTAATGATTAACATTATCTGAGGAGCTTTTAAAATTACTGATGCTTGGGTCCAGAAATTCCAGTTTAATTGGTTTGGAGTGTAGCCTGGACATAGGAGTTTTTGAAAAGCTCCCCAGATGATGTTGAAGTGCAATCAATGTAGAAAACCACTGGTCTATCTTCAGATTATCTGTTCCTAACCTTGATTTAACCAGATTACCTGTACTAATCTTAATCTTGATTAGAGAGTGCTTTAAAAAAAATTTAGCTTCCCTAACTCTAGTTCCAGAAATTCAAATTCGAATTGCCTGGAGTGGAATCTAGCTAGGCATTTAAAGAAAACTGTTGTGATTTTAATATGAAATCAAGATTAAAAGCCAAAATCTTTAACATTGTAGCATGGGGGAATACACTCTATGTCACTGTGTAATGTCAAAGCAGAGAAAAGAAGACAAACTCGATCTGTGAAAGTAGAGCTGTACCCTTCACTGAGTCACTGGAATAGAAAGCCACTAGTCAGAGGTTAGTTGTCAGTTTCTGAGGGGTAAAACAAACTTCATCTTACTGGTTACACTGAGCTGGATTTCAGTTTATTTAGGTAGGATCCAGAGAGCTAGAGCTGCCTCCACCTAATGGTCTCCTCATTAATTATTTTAACACAATACTAAGGCATCAGGATTCACTGAGAAAACTGTAGATCTATATATTCTGATAAGGAGTGGTTTTAGATTCATTCTTCTGTAAATTTTGGTCAAATTAGTCACTATATTTTCCTATAAGATTTATAATTTGTAGCTACTTTGGGGCTGTCTCTTTTGAAGGAAGTGTTGCGGTGTTGGTTCGATAAAAATTGACTTTGGACATAAAGAATGAGAAAGTAGATTCATTCATGGGTAAATGGGTACATGTTGAGGATATACTTCCAAATGAAATAAATAAGTCACACATATGCAAATACCAAAAAGTTTCTCTAGTGTGAAAAACTAAAATAGTACTCAAGATCCTAACGGGACAATTAGCAAATAAATAGGAAGAAAAGGACGAAAGGTGTAGGGACAGTGAGAAGGATAGGGAATGGGGAATAAGGGAAAAGGAAAAAATATGAGAAAATGTAAAAATGGAATTAAGCGTTTGAAGAGGGGGAAGGGAGGAGGGGATGAAGGGAGGGCGGGGACAAGGGGAAAAAATTGAGAACCAAGACCTGGCATGTAAAGGTACAAGATCCCAGTAACTAATGTGACTGTACTGTCTACCTAGAATGTACCAATGAATTACATTTTAAAAAATTGACTTTGGATATTCTTTGCATATTGCTTTCACATAAAGAAAGTAGATGAACTGGGCACGGGGGTGCATGCCTGCAAACCAGGCACCAGGGAGTCTGAGGCAGGAGCATGGCGAGTTCAAAGATCATCTGGAATACCTAGTGACACGCTAGCACATGATGGAAGGAAGAAAGGAAGGAAAGGAGAAAGGAAAGTAGGAAGGGAGAGAGGGCGGGAGGGAGGGAGGGAAGAAAAAATCAAGAAAGAAGAAAGCTTTGAATATAAAATTTATGTCCCCTTTTGAATTTGTACTATGAAGAAATGTACAAAGAAATTAATTATTTCGAATAATGCTGAGCCTGCAAGACATAAGGTAACACTGAAAATTGGGTTCAGTCTTGCAGAGGGCGGAGGGGCCACGCATAGCTGCCTAGGGCAGAGAAGCGTGGGCGTCAGGCCGTTGGCACACACACACACACACACACACACACACACACACACGAGGCTCACGAGCACCCCCTGAGTTCATCCCCCACCCCAGGAGGGGCGCGCGCCGCTGTCACGTGACGAGGTCGCGTGGGCTTGTCTGTGCTCCCCCGCAACCGACCAAAGAACAGCCATGGCCGAGGCCAACGACTTTCAGCCTGATGGGGAGACTCTGCAGATGTTGCGGGACATGGCCAATCGCCTGCGAATCCATTCCATCAAGGCCACAAGTACCTGCGGCTCCGGCTACCCTATGTCTTGCTGTAGTGCGGCCGAGATCATGGCCGTCCTCTTCTTCCACACGATGAGATACAAACAGACAGACCCAGAGCACCCCGACAACGATAGGTTCGTTCTCTCCAAGGGCCATGCAGCGCCAGTCCTCTATGCCATTTGGGCCGAGGTGGGCGATATCTGCGAATGTGACTTACTGAGCCTGAGGAAGCTTCACTGCAACTTGGAAGGGCATCCCACCCCTCGACTGTCGTTTGTGGATGTGGCAGCAGGGTCCCTTGGGCAAGGATTAGGTGCTGCGTGCGGAATGGCTTACACAGGAAGGTACTTCGACAAGGCCAGCTATCGAGTGTTCTGCCTCATGGGAGATGGTGAATCCGCAGAAGGCTCTGTCTGGGAGGCTTTGGCTTTTGCCTCCCACTTCAATTTGGACAATCTCGTGGCTGTCTTCGACGTGAACCGCTTGGGTCAGAGTGGCACCGCTCCCCTGGAGCACCGTACAGATATCTATCAGAATCGCTGTGAAGCCTTCGGGTGGAATACTTACATAGTGGATGGTCACGACGTGCAGGCATTGTGCCAAGCATTTTGGCAAGCAACTCAAGTGAAGAACAGACCTACTGCTGTCATTGCCAAGACTTTCAAGGGTCGTGGTATTCCCAACATTGAGGATGCAGAAAGTTGTCATGGAAAGCCAATGCCTAAAGAGAGAGCAGAGGCAATTATTAAACTAATTGAGAGTCAGATACAGACCAACCGAAATCTCACACCCAAACTTCCTATTGAAGATTCACCTCAGATCAACATCTCTGATATAAAAATGACATCTCTGCCTGCTTACAAAGTTGGTGAGAAGGTAGCTACTAGGAAAGCATACGGTATGGCTCTGGCTAAATTGGGCCATGAATGTGACAGAGTTATTGCTCTAGATGGTGACACAAAGAACTCTACCTTTTCTGACATATTTAAGAAAGATCACCCTGATCGTTTCATAGAGTGTTTTATTGCTGAGCAAAACATGGTAAGTGTGGCATTGGGCTGTGCCTCACGTGATCGAACCATTGTTTTTGTTAGTGCATTTGCTGCCTTTTTGTCCCGGGCATTTGATCAGATCCGAACGGGAGCCATCTCTCAAACCAGTATCAACCTTGTCGGTTCTCACTGTGGGGTATCTGTTGGTGAAGATGGACCATCTCAGATGGCCCTGGAGGATCTAGCCATGTTCCGAAGCATTCCCAGTTGCACTATTTTCTATCCAAGTGATGCAGTCTCAACAGAGCATGCTGTTTATCTGGCTGCCAGTACCAAGGGAGTATGCTTCATTCGTATCAGCCGGCCAGAAACTGCAGTTATTTATACCCCACAGGAAAAATTTGAGATCGGACAGGCCAAAATAGTTCGCTCCAGCATCGATGACAAGATCACAGTTCTAGGAGCTGGAATTACTCTGCATGAGGCCTTAGCAGCTGCTGATGATCTTTCTCAACAAGGTATTTCTATTCGAGTCATTGACCCATTTACTATTAAACCTCTGGATGCTGCCACCATTATTTCCAGTGCAAGAGCCACAGGTGGCTGGATCATCACAGTGGAAGATCACTACAAAGAAGGTGGCATTGGAGAAGCTGTGTGTGCAGCTATCTCCAGGGAGCCCGACATCCTTGTTCATCAGTTGGCAGTCACAGGAGTACCCCAGAGTGGAAAAGCCAGTGAATTGCTGGATATGTTTGGAATCAGTGCCAAACACATCATAGAAGCTGTGAAGTATATTTTAATGAAACAAAAATAGCTAATTTCTTAACAGATCAAATGTTCATTTTGATCTTAAAGCACTGAAATCTTTGTTAAATTTACTTGTTAGAAAGCCATCACTTATCCATACAGTCATGCATTGTTTTTTTTTTTAAAGCAAAACTACGTAACACTATTTCTAGTTTTAAAATTCAGGTAACTTTTCTGTTAAAGTGTGAACAAATACAGTCATGATTCTTAGTTTGAAGCATTAGAAAGAACTTAAAATTTGGAGTGGCAGAGTAGGAACTAAAACAACCATCTAATACAAAGTTTTCTGCTAAGACTAAAAATTACTGACTGGATTGGAGATTTGTGTAGAAGTAACTGTTTCTTAGATTATATGATTTCTTTGTGAGTTAAGAAAATGTGAATTTAATTGTAATACTTCAGTAGTCCACATTTTGAAGCAAGTTTGAGCTTTCATATATGCTATCACCATCGTATACTTATAGCTTCCCAGATGATGTTTTACTAATGTTGCCTGGGAGTTTCCTCAAAATTCATCCCTCCTCTAAGGTTTATGGGGTGTAGAGCAGCAATGATATGTACCATGCTGCCTGTGGAGATCATTTCATAAAGAAAAAGAAAATGTAGCAAGTTCTAGTCTACATACTATGTATAGTTATATGATAATTTAAAATAGACTTTTTTTGGTGAACAAATTGCTAAATAGGTTGTATTCATCTACAAAGGGTACTAGAGCTGATGCAACAAAATATTTTTTAAAACCTACTTTATTTCATGTCTGATAAACCATAAATGAAGAAGAAACTTGTGGCTAAGCTAAAAGTAGAAAAATGGTATATCACCAACAGCAAATTTGAAAAAAATATCAGAGCTCGAGATAAATCACTAGAGAGTAATGGATAGCCTGAAAAGAGCTATGTATCCCTCAGGTAGACTGCTTTTGGTCACAAGTATATATATCACATACTTGAAATGTAAAAAAGAAGTAACATAATTAAAAATGAACCCTAATTTCTAAAATGATTTTGAGTGTGTCTTTGTCAAGTAATTTCTTATTTGTGTGTGTTTGTTTTTTCTCATTGAGTTTATTGGTACATTTAGGTATACAGTACAGTTACATTCATCATTGGGATCTTGTACCTTTACATGACAGGTCTTTGCTCTCATTTTTCCCCCTTATCCCTGCCCTCTCTTCACCCCTTTATTTGTTTGTTTCTTTTTCTCTCTTTTTTTTGGGGGGGTACTGGGGATTGAATTTAGGACCTTGCTCTTGTGAGGCAGGTGGCAGCACCACTGAGCTAAATCCCTGGCTCTGTTTCTTTAAGTATCTTCATTTAAATTTTTTTGGAGGCATATTCGGGTTTTTCTCAGCAATTGTTCTAGGTGAGATGGGTATCAAAAAATACCTGGGAACTAGAAAAACTCACTGTCCCATTATTATTATTATTATTATTATTATTTTATTATTTTTATTATTGAGACAGGATCTCATTGTACAGTCCAGGTTGGCCTTGAGCTTGTGACAATCCTCCTGTCCTACCCTTCCGAATGCTGAGATTATAGGTGTGTGCTACCACACCCGGTGATTTCCTGCTTTGTAGAATGAACATAATAATTGCTCTTTTTTTATGAGATTTAAAAAGTGTAAGAAGATAAAATCAGTTGATATGGGAGCATTGTAGAAATTTACAACATACGTATATGTAAAAATTTACCTGAGTTTCAGAATTCCACACAAACTGCATTTGCCAGCACGTGATCTGTGACTGAATCTTCCACTTGGATCATTTAAATCTAGTAACATCAGATAGGTACTACATTTATCTCTGAGTAGGGTGTCAATGACAAATCTTTGATTCTTAGATTTTTTCCATACCTTGGAAAGATATAACATTGATTCTGATACACATTAAACTTGGCAAAATATTAACAAATACCTTTTTTTGTCAAAATTGAGGGAAGACTTCCACTTTTATTACACGGCAACATGAATGTGGGGGTAAATAACCATCTGGTTCAACTGAACATTCATGAGCACACTTGTAGTAGTAACAGAAGATGGACTTTGTATGTACATATATATGTGCATGTATGTACATACAGAATGGAACCTCGGAGACCACCAGTGTGTGTGTGTGTGTGTGTGTGTGTGTGCGTGTGTGCGTGCGCATGCCTGTGTGTGTGGGGGGGTGCTTAAGTGTATTGTAAACATTCTTTTGCCACAGTCTTAACCAGTGGCTATCAGCTGTAAGAATGAGTTGGGAGGAGAGATTTGTGTTGTCTGCATTTCTTAAGATAGAATCATGTCCGATTTCATTGCAATGAATGTTCTCTAACCTTGAATCTATTCTACAATCATTTATGAAAATTGTAGAAAAGAATCATCCTGACTGATGCTAACCCTTGACTGCTAAAGTTTGTAAAGGTTTACTTTTGATGAATGACACGATCCCTGGTCTAACTCCGGTTTTCACTTTTTTGCCTGGAAGTTCTCTTAGACTATCAAGAAAGCCTGATGTGGTTACCTTGCTTATGTTTGCAGTAATAAAGGTTGGCAGGGAGCGTCTGAGAAGGATGCTGATCATTCAAATGGTAAATGGCTCCTTTCCTGGTTTTTATGGATCTTAGAGGTCTTAAAAGAAGGAATAAGTGTGGTAAACTTTTATTTTACTTTAAGTTTATCAATAAGTTATTTAAGTTAAAGTGCATTTGAAGGTCTTGTTTGAAAAGAAACCAAAAATAGTCTCTGTATTTTGAAATTTAAAATTATTAAGCCATAATGGGATGTACTCCTGAAGTTTATTAAACTGTACAGAAATTGTTAAATAAAGGGCTGGGGATTTAGCTCATAGGCGCCACACCTGCCTCACAAGTGCAAGGTCCTGAGTTGATTCCTGGTACTGGAAAGAAAAGAAAAGAAATAAATTGCTAAATTCTATGGGACTGAACCTTAGCAAGTCTGGTTTGAAGGTTGAAAGTAATAATCTGTATGGCAACCTTTACTATCATAGTATGTAACAGAAGTCCTGGGACTAACTGGAGTAGGAGGGAAGAGTGTACTGTTCTTAGAGAGAAACCATCACCTTAAATTTTCCATAGGAGAGAAGAGGATGCACGAGCTAATTTCTTTCATTAGCGTTAGTGGAGGAGGTGCTCCCTAGGAAATTGCCTCCAAAGTTTGGGGTTAAATGCGAGGAGAAAGGGCGTGCATGGAACCACCAGGTTGGATGTGGTGGGTATGAGCTTACTTTTCTGACTGTAGATCTATGAGAGTGGATTAGCGCAGGATGACAAACACAAGCAGCAGGAGCATCTTCCTCCACTTGTTTTTGTACAGCTGCAAACTAAGGATGGTTCTACTTTGTCTAACATTTGGGAAAAGTTCACAGTACTATTTTATGGCATGAAAACCATATGAAATTTAGATTTCAGTGTCCATGAACATTTTGAGGGGGATACAGCCCTCATCTGATTGCATACTGACTATAGCTGCTTCAGAACCACAACGGTAAAGCTGAACTGTCATGTCAGACACCATATAGTCCACAAAGTCAATGATATTTACTATGTGGGTTTTGGATTACAAGTTGGTAAACTCAGAGGCAGAGTACTGAGGAGAAAGGAGTGGGACAGTACCAGGTGAGGGGAAAAATTTCAAGTTCCTAAGGCTCCAAATGGAAAGCTGGACAAGTCCTATGGCCCTGTCATTCACCTTTAGGCTGATACTTAAATTTGACTCAGTGATTAAAATGTGTTCAGCTTTTACTAAGAAATGCTTCAGATGGAAGCAATTACATGGTAGAAGACTGTATGGTGTCAGGGAACGCTGGCCACCATGAGTACCTTTCTGACTTGGTGCTGAAGAAAAGCTGGTATTCTGAGGCAGGGGCAAAAGACAAAATCTGATACAGGATAATAAGCAGCAAGACAACCCAGGTGGGCTAAAATCCAGAAATTAGAGGGTGGGTGAAGGGAAACAGGTCCATTCAGGGAACAGGGTACCTCAACCCCCTCCCCTACACTCCCTCTCCTACGCATGGATCTTGAGAAAAGCCTGGGGGAGGGAGCAAGTTCGCCCCTCAGCCATGCTATAAACACAAAGTCAAGCAATCTTCCTCAGTGACGTGTCACAATTAGACAACTCCAAACCAGGGACTCAAAGAAGACAAAAACAATGGAATAAAAAACTTCCTAGCAACCATTCTGTGCTCATTGTCCCCAGATCTGGTGGGTAGCAAGACACCAGGAGAGAGATTTCCCCCAACACAGACGATTATAATAATAAAGCAATAACAATAATAAGATAACACAGCCAGACTAAAATCCATAGTTCAGAGGGTGGGAGAGGGGAAACAAGTTCATGCCTGGAACATTGTACCCTTCTCCCACACTGCAAACCTGGCACTCAAGCCAACCTGGAAAGGGTGAGGCTGAGGGAGGGAGGAAGGCAGCCCCTCTGGATTATTAAATAAACCCACAGCAAAGCTATCCTCGCCACTGGGTATGACAAAGTCAGACAACTCCAACTCAAGGACTCAAAGAAACTGAAGACAGAACAGGGTAAAATTTCATAACCATGCACCAGCATTTCCACTCCCAGAGCCAGTGGACAGCAAAGATAGTGGACAGCAAAAACACCGGGAGAAACTTTCCCCAACACACACAATTTAAGAAAAAAATAATACTGTAACAATAATAAATCACCTATTTATTCCATGTACAATGGGAGTGCAAAACATGGAACATTCAGGGCTCCAGTGATAATTGTCAGAAGAGGTCACCCACGGAGAAGGGCAGAAGTGAGCATCAGTTCTGCCACAAAATCAGAAAAGAATTTTCTCCTGGTAGCCAGAAGAGAAAATAGCACCCTCTTGTGGTTTCTGTGGCCGAAGCTGAAACATAACAGAACCTGGGAATAGCGGCTTTTAGGCAAAGTAAAAGGTTTAAAAACAAACAAAACAAACCAAAAACCCCAAGAAATCTGTGAAGGGAAGACACAGAGAAGTGTGAGATATTTACTTTCGAAACTGCTCAAGACAGTAGCATCCACAAAAGTCTGCAGTGGACACATCTGGAAGTTGAAACCAGGACGCATGAAAGAGAACAGCAGCTCCCAAATCTCCAGATTGGCAATTGTCTGCGCAAGGGGAAACTGCATGGCTAATTGAAACCATACGGTGAAAAGAAAGCTGTGAGGAAGAACTGGGTTATGGCTATGACAACTATGCTAAATGACAGGGTCCAACCCAATTAAACTGAAAAGCTTGAAGGGCTGAAAAATGTCCCTAAACAAGTAAAGCCATGAACACATCACCAGAGAACCAAATGACAATGGAATCAAATGACAGTGTCAGTAGAACTAAAGCGATCTTCTAACTAAAGTGATCTTCATATCAATGACAAGCTCTCCACGCTCAAGTTTGCCTGCAATTCTCAGAACCAAGGAAATATATGTGAACAATGGAAAGCAAGGTAAATAAGACACCCAGGATTTCCCAATTCTCCTAAAGCAGATTCAAGGGGTACCTGTGGAGAGGAAAATAGAGTAACACTGTACAAACTGATTAAGGAAGAGGTAGAGAAATTTGGTGAGTACAAAGAGTACACAGCTCCCAAAATAATGGAACTAACATACAAAATGAGCAATGTAGAGATGGGAGAAACAAATAAAAATTTGGAGAAGCTGACCAAAATGGTTCAAAACATGAATACAAATTTACCAAAGATATAGACTATATGAAAAGTTGTCAGAAAGAAATATTGGGGCTTAAAAAGTTATATAGAATTTATAAATTGCAGAAATAAGAATTGTGAAGACAGCATTTCTGAATTCACAGAAGGGAAAATCACATATGAAGTTTAACCCATCAAGATTACAGCAGGCTTCTAACACAAAATTTAAAAGCAAGTAGATGTTTGAGTAAAGTGTTTCAAGACCTGATAGCAAACAACTTCCAACCCAGACTAATATATCCTGCAAAAGAGTCTTTCAAAATTGGTAGGG